CAATAGATTACAAAGATTCGTAAGATTTAAAAAAAAATCTATGAATACTCCAAGACAATAGTAACTTTCCTACGTCTAGAAACTATGACTTCGAACTAGTGTCTCAAGGTGAATGGCGGAATTACGTTATAGATGTCCATGAGCTCGGATAACCATTTGACACCAGCTGAGCCGAGAGCTCATTCATCGATCTAAGCTATTAAAAAAAAAAACATTAATTTATAATTTGTTTATTTAAAGCTTAAAATGACTACAAGCAAAATAGTCATTGAATTCATCTGCCTTAAAAATCCAACAAGCAAAAAAATCTTTAGTCTGATAAGAATAAATATTGTGTTATTGTAAACTTACCTACGAAGTATCCAATTATTTCCTTTTGCCATTGTATTAAGTTACGAATCATTGAACCGCTTCGAACAACCTTGGTATGAAGCAAAAGGTAGCTTGGATTTTAACACTTATTGCCTTGTAATCTACAAAGGAAGGGAGTATTCAAGTACACTTTTTACTATGATGATTCATGTGCACTAACTTTGAAGGTTAACTTGTTAACGGGGCCCTCAAATTATTGTTGTCAGTACTTAAAAAGGGACTTTTTATATATTTGAATACGTTAATGTACGCGCAAAAGTTATATGACAACAGCATCGAATTTTTTTTAATGAAATATTACAGTTTTCAGCATTAGGAGTCGTAGCAGGAAAATATTCACTAGAATAGCAGCGATGTCAAAATCATTTAATTATGTGTAGGTACCCATTTTTGTTATTTGACAACTACCCGCGTCACTAGAATTAAATAATATTTTTAACTTAGTAACTACTGAACCAATGATCAATATTACTGCCACTCAAGATTTGCAAATTGCAATGATGTAGGTCGGATCTGTGCTGTTTGTGTACGAGAAGAGCTCGGGATCAGTATAGAGCTGCAGAGAACTGTGTCTATAGTGCTTTAGTATAGGATCCTCGGCTGGATGTAGGTCGGATTGTATGGGTTTACTAATATTATTCTCATAAAGAACGACACATCTGTAAACATGGATTATACTATGTAAACTTAACTTAAATTTTCATGGATTTTTTTGGATAAATTCACATATACACATAATAGCACATGTACTTCGACTAAACAGACCCCTCCATCTCGCCTCGTCTTCCTCATTACTGCGGATCCCGATTTCCCCGATGAAAGATTAATAATAATTCCTCTCTAGATAATGGCCCTTCAATCTATCAGAGCGATTGAAAGACTAATTGAGGATAAATTTCTAAAGTGAAGTTTTTCCTACATTTTTGAGTGTACTTTATGATTTACTAAATGAGGAATGATCTAAAAAAAAATTAAGCCAGTGTAAATCAGTAATGGAAACCGATTTCGATCACTGTGCATAGACTTAATATTGTTAAAAGTAATGTCTGTATTTTGTGATAATCTGTACGTATTACTTTATCTGTATTGCCGAGATTTGTAAGTTTACGTAAATTTAAAACATTCGTTTTCACTAATAGTATTTTTATCTGTGATTAAACACCTAACGAATCAAGCCAGTCATGTTTCCTCATAGCGTGTACAAAATACACGTTACGGTTTATTTTTCGAACTGAATGATATCAATCACGTTCCCTTAAACGTGTTTTGTGTGGTAGTAGATCAATCTCGAATCTTTCGTTCGTTTTTGTTGCCATTGTACTGTAACGCTTTCAATGAGACTTCAATGTACACTTTAACAATGCTGAAAATGAAGCGTAAATAATTCATGGTTTTTTTTTTAAGCACTAAGTAACTAGGTTTGAAGTGCTCTTAAAACAGTATGTTCTTTTGATGCATGACTTAGCTTGTTCTTAAAATGTATATTAAGAGTTTTATTTGAAATTGTCAGCCATTTCGAAAAATGTAACTAACTACCAAGGATCCGCTGCATTAATTAAACAGTAACACAAAAGAATTAAGATAACTCCTAAGAATACCGGAGCTAACAAACACGTTTAGGAATTTCCAAAATTATTACCACAAAATAAGCTGTACTAATACGGATTGATCTTTCGAAATATCGTTAATAATATATAAATATCTAACTATCTTAAGCATCTTACATACTGACTCAGGATAAGACTGGAGGTTATCTAGAGTGAGCAAGAAATGAATAATTCCAGATCTAGAAATTTTAGACGGTCTCAACTTCATAATTACTAAAGACTTTCTTCAAATTCATAAATCAATCGACAAGCTTAATAAACTACGACATATGCAGATTTAAATGAATCTAATGTGATCTAAGTAATTAATTAATGTAAAAAACAAAAATCAGAATACCTCAGCGTGTACGTATCTTTGAAAAATATGTTAACATATTTTTCAATTCAATTTCACATAGGCTTTAGTTTAAACTAAATAAATTAATAACGTAGTACAATAATTAAAAGAGGACTAACAAGTAAGAAAATACTAAGACTTTTAACTCTTTTAACAAGAAAATGGTTCACGGATCGATTTTTACACTGATCGCACGTAAAAACACATATAACTCAATTAACAACGAAACTCTTATGTTTTTTTGTCGGCTACACATTTGTAATTTTATGGAAAGCCATAGATAGGGAGGTAAAATTGGAATCAACAAAGACTAATTCCAATTTTACGTCTTCGCGTATCTTTTATCCGGTTGATACTTCTGGTGCTTTCCATTCCATTTAATTTAAAATTTTGCAATTTTCACAGAGAACGATTGTAGCACGAATATTATTAATACAAACAATGCTTAAGCATGAATTGAATACATACAATATCGATCGATAAATCCCTTAATCGATTAAAACTTTCTCCCTAAACCGGTCTCCAAATAAGACGAACGCTCCACCCTACCTCTCCAAAATCAGTGCACTTTCCGAACCCATTGCATTGAAAGTCCACGTGGCCGTGTCACGTGGTCGGTACACGAGCATCGCACTTTTTGCTGGCGTTTTTGAACGCATATCGTTCAATAACGTGACTATACCGGCATTGTTCGAAAACACTTCGAAATTGAAATCAATATTTCAGTTGAATTTTCCGCGACTAAATTCTTAGCTCAGCTATTTCTGAATATCATTTCAGCTATATCTGATACTACATTTTATACTGGTGGTAGGACCTCTTGTGAGTCCGCGCGGCTAGGTACCGCCACCCTGCCTATTTCTGCCGTGAAGCAGTAGTGCGTTTCGGTCTGAAGGGTGGGGCAGTCGCTGTAAATATACTTGAGACCTTAGAACTTATATCTCAAGGTGGGTGGCGCGTTTACGGCGTAGATGTCTATGGGCTCCAGTAACCACTTAACACCAGGTGGGCTGTGAGCTCGTCCTACCATCTGAGCAATTAAAAATAAAATAAAAAATATATTTCTAAATTTGCAAAGTTGTTGTTAATTGCAATTCTTATAATGCAGCTCAATAAAGAACACGATCGAAAGCTTTTCCAGGTAACTTTGATTTAAGTGAGCCTAGTTGCCTGTTTAACATATACCTAGTAGATCTGAATATCTCTACGTGAACTATTTGCCATTAGCCCGGCTGGTTATTAATGTTCCGTATCTGAAATGTTAAAACATAAATTTACATTTCACACTTCCCTTTAAAAAATAATAAGAAGGTAGATAGGTATCTTACGCAATTCGAACACATGCTAATTATTATAATTTCGTCACACAATGAGTTTTGTATGGTGAAACATACGTGACTCTGAATGTTTTCTCAAGTGTTTAGGTAGGTCCTTATCAGAGTTTAAACATGGATTCATGAAACCTTTATTGTCCTTGTATTCTTAAACATTCAGCTTATTCATAATATGGTTGTTGAATAAATTTGAAGGCCTTTTTTTTATTTTTATTAATGACTTTTTCGTTTGATTTGATATCAAACACTACATTGTAATATCGGAAAGTTGAAACTGTATAATTTACTGTTATTGTAACACGGAGGTGCAATTTCTTTCAACACATGTTGACAACAATATGTTTACCGATAATCATTATGAAATAGAAGCCCGAATACATTAATTTTATAAAGCAGTGCATCGATGCAATGGCCTAACGTAAATGTTGCCAAACAATGTTCGTGTAAAAACAAATAAAACCCGAAAACAATTCTATAGTGCGCTGTTTTCCGCAAAGAATGACAATAATATAATGTAATTTAATGATTAAAAGTCTAACAGTCTTGTGTTGATATTAAAACGCATGAGTCTCATCTGAGATGACCTCGTTCCACATTCGAACCTAAGAATGCCACGCTATAGAATGCACTTTTGTCTACATTAACCGTCTGTTTAAATTTATTTTTAACTGACAGTTATCTCGAACTAAAATAATACGTGCGTCACAACAAAACGTGAGGAACGCGCTGATAACGCGATGTTTGTTTCCAATAGATATTTCATAATGAATAATTCTTTGAAGGTTTTTTATACAAGTAAACAAGTTGAGGCTATTGGTCACGTTTTCAAGTCGTTGCAATTTTAGACGTTACGTGATGATGTATTTAGAATCGTAGTGTTTTTTTAAGAACTAACACGTTACATAAGTTCGTAATATAAAAAGCATTGACTAAGTTTTCTTTACCTAAGCTACTTGTAAAGATATATTAATTATGGTTCTGCGTTTTCTTTTGTTATTGGTTTCCGTTGGTGTAACCCCAATGAAAGCCCGGACGTATAGGGTAGGAGCGACTGCTGTGAGCTCAGATAACTACTAGCTGCTACCGGATGTCGTGACTTATTTCATCCATCTATGAAATAAAATAAAATATTTTTTTTTCTTGCTTCAAACGGGGTTGGCGAAGAGTACTCAATAGTGGTAGCGGCTTGACTGTGCCACTAGCATTACTGACGTTTAAGCGAGATGATAACCACTCACCTACAGATGAACTGTGTGTTCGTGTGCCTACAAGGGCGGATAAAAAACGATTATCAATATCAACGTCATATCTTCAAAAAAAAAACTAACAATCGTTTTCTTCTCTTTGCAGGTTCCCACATTACTCGCCTACGCGAAGCAAGACGTATACAGCGTCTGCAAAGGATCGCTTCCCCGTCCACTAGCGACGAGTCTAACTCGTCGCCATGCCCTCCAACGGTCGACAAGGCCGCCCAAAACCGCGTCATCTTAGAGCTCGCTTGGAAGACCGTAGCGCTGATGCACAAGAACAGATTGATCCAACAGAAGATCATTGATCTTCAAAAGGAAANTACTCGCCTACGCGAAGCAAGACGTATACAGCGTCTGCAAAGGATCGCTTCCCCGTCCACTAGCGACGAGTCTAACTCGTCGCCATGCCCTCCAACGGTCGACAAGGCCGCCCAAAACCGCGTCATCTTAGAGCTCGCTTGGAAGACCGTAGCGCTGATGCACAAGAACAGATTGATCCAACAGAAGATCATTGATCTTCAAAAGGAAACGTCACAGTACATACAGTCCGTAATGAGCAACCCTGAGAACAGGAGGCGCTATATGGAACACGTCCGTTTGTACGGTGCGCAACCTACGCAACTTAAGCTATTAGCAGCCGAAAAGAATGTACAGGTCAAAGTGGAGCCCAAAGCGTGAGCCCCAATCTAATTCTGAAAGTTCGTAAAATCTATGAACAACAAAAAACAAAATGGCGGAAATCATTTGTTATTTACATTTTGATTACAATGACATGTTTTTGATTAAAACGACTCGTTCTTTATGCGAACGGCGAAAGGCGATGTGAAATATGAAAAAAAATACGCTTGAAAATCAACGCAGCTGTTGCTTGAAGTGTGCCTGAGAGAAGTTTGCGTCTAAAAATCATGTTGATGAAAACGGATCTGTTATGATTTTTTATTAGTAGATTAGTAGTTTTAAGGTGTTGTTTTTTTTTTTGAAGTTCAAGAGAACATATTTCGGGATCTCTTATTTATTCTTTCAATACCTACTTGAAGGTTTTATGCTAACTAAAGAAGCTATTATTATTTATCCAAAAAAGTAAATAGTTTAGAGACGTTTCAATGATTTTGTAGTTATTTTCATGACATTTTGTATTTAATTCATTGTACAATGTTCGTTATTCTTTTGAAAGCTTTCTATGTGGGTAGTTCTAATTTCCCTGTCGGCAATATTAACGAATCAGTGTCTTAAATAAAAATGTTGTGCTTATTATAATTATATAATAATGTGTACTGTTCTTTATAATTATAAGATATTAATAAGCTGTACTGTTACATAATAAGTTGTATTTAAAAGGCTGTTTGATGTTCTTAATATGTAATGTTGCCTTCGTTTCTATGATTTAAAAGAAATCGTTCAAAATCCGCTTCTACCGCTCCATTTTCTGTATTCAAACATGGCATTCATTTCGCAAAAAAATATTATTTTTCATTCATCAATTTGTAATCCATATATACAAGATTTCTAAATTAATTTAGAACAACAAGCAGAATTTTTTTCAAAATGGCGGTTTTAAAGTTTTTTTTTTTAATGAATAGAGACCAAGGCAATAAAATGGTTTTTAAAGAATACTCTTAATCGTTTAAACTTATATTAAGATTAGATTGATTTTTGATTGAATTTCGTAATTTACGCGTTAAACATTAAAAGTGGAAGCTTATGTAATCAATGTATTAAGTGTTGGTGCATGGCAATCTTTGCATTATGAAAACTTTGTCAAAATAATTCATTTGCTATTCCACACGATGCTACTTTGAAATGTCAGTTTGACGTAGTTTCAAAGCGCTCATTTGATCATAAACTACATATCGTGAGCAAAAGATTTGTTCAATATTGCTATAGAATAGTCCTTAAATGAAAAGAATTGGGTAATGCACCGAAGTAGGTAGATATGCATCTCGTATACAATTCATTCATTTTCGTAAGTAATTTTCAATTTCAATCTCAATACACTTGTCACACAACACTTAATACATACAGTTTGCATTTAATATTTAGTTAATGAATTATTAATTATATCCATGTTAGCACAGACTACCAAAAACTGTGTTCATTTTAAAATATTTACTTATACTTTTTAGTCGATGTAATGTACACAAAAAAGTATTACTTACATTTCTAAATTAAATTTTCTAACTTTTCGTGTGATAAATTTTTAAATTGTATTATTTCGATTACAAATTACTTTAGTGAGTTTAAAACGAAATAACTCCTTATTAGGTATACATACACAAAAGTGTTTCAAGGTTTTAAATTAAAAATGTTTTTATTTTCATAGGTTTTCAGAATTTGATTATTTAAAATATGATTATAATTTAATGTAAACATAAAATTTTAATTCCCTTAAAATACTTATAATTTAGAAGTTCAATTCTGTCATGTCAGTTTTTGAAAATGTGTGTCACTGACTGACTAGGGAGAATGTATGACGTCACTTCCATAGATAATACACTTCATAATTAGAAAATCAAAAACGGTTGTTGTGTACAAAATTTACATCATATTTGCTTTAAAAAGTATTATTGCTTAGGCTTAAGATTATTTATACATATTTTGTTGGTAAAACTCCTTGTGTAGATTAAGCCTTCAAAATTTTTCACGTGTTTTAGCTGTTATTATTCATTAAAAATACACTAGTCTTTGATATTCGATTTTGTTGTTTTATTTCCAAAACTATTGTTTCACTGCTCATTTTCTTCAAATATCACCTGTGTTCTACTTCAAAGTCCAAATCCATTAACTGTGCTTTTGAGTACCTCAAGCACTGATTACCGTCCTTGCCGAACCCGTCGCTTGCGATGAAGGGCTCGGCGAGTAAATTAACCCACAGACACAGCCCACTGAGTTTCTCGCCGAATCTTCTCAGTGGGTCGCGTTTCCGATCCGGTGGTAGATTCTGCAAAGCAATGCTCTTGCTAGGGCCAGTGCTAGTAAAACCTCCGGCTTGAGTCCAGAGAGCTCACCTACACGTCAAAAAGAAGCTGAAATAGCCTCCAATATCAGCATAGATAGAAAAAAAAACGCCACATAAAAAAAAAATTAAATACTGCGCTTAGCGCCATCTTTCGTCAAGCGGCAGAACGAAATTTTCAAATATTAATTTTGATTTTAACATGTATTGTTACATATTATTTTGTTATTAATAATATACCTAGGTATATAGAGGCGTACAAAATATTAGTTTAAAATATTACTGAGCAGTAGGTGCTTTTATTCTTATCTCTCATGAAGAGTCTCATAAAGAGAAGGGCATAAAGTTTCACGACCTTTCAACCCTTAGGATCTTTTCAAATTCAAGTTCTATGTCATTTATAAAAGTCAAAGTAAACTTTACCATCACTTTCTCAAAGAGCCGCAGTTTGAAGAAACCGATAAAACAAACTCAGCCAATTAAAAATATTAAGTGTATTATAATTATGAACTCTGCGTAATTTAAACTTACTGAATTTCAAATTTTAAGCATTATATTATTAACATTAAGTAAAGCACCGCTATAAATGCTATAATCTTGTTAAACTGACGATTATAACTGGCACACGTTCTTATTTCAGACATCTGTTCCAAAGGATTTTTCTGTATGGGCACTGATCCCTTTATCTGTCCATTATCTGTCATAAATACGAATCAACAACAATCAAAAGGACTTTTTGGCGGGAACGCGATGAGTGAAGTTGTGTGATTTGTTTTATTTTGTCTATTTAGTGTTTCTTCGGGCTTAAATGTGTAATAATTACGGTTTATTAACTGTTTAATATCTGTGAAAGTGCACAAATGTGGGAAAATGAAACAAAGCTGCTGGATGTAACTTCTCGGGATCTTCCAAAAAGTCCACGGAATTTTTTTTAGTAAATGACCACCATTTTACTGAGATTATATTTCATCCCATTTCATTTCATTTAATTTCATCCCAGTTGATGAATGTCTCAAATTAATCATCTTTATTTCATTTCACTCCATAATATCATTTTTCATAAAAATATGAATATAAATTAAAATAAGACATAACTTAAAGGTCTCATTTACCAGGTCATAAAATCACTTAAAAAAAACAACAATCAAAACAATTCAAGTTTCACACAATTGAGAGCATTTGTTTTGAAATGAGAAATTTGCAAATTTAGTAAGCAGGAGCCATAGAAAAATGAAAGCACTAATACAACGAGTAATGAATGCCAAAGTTATAGGTATATTTCTGAATTCTGAATATTAATATTTTGAGGTTATTTCTCTTCAGCATACTTCCTACTGGCTTAGTCCGCGACTTCACACATCCATCATGGTAAAGTTGATGGTCCTCTGGACCACCAGCATTACTCAATTAAGGATGGGTTCCTCAAAAATCGTCTAATAATCATATCATCCCAAGTCGTAATTAATTTGATTTTTGAAAGCAGTACCTACCTATTTAGTATTTGTTTTGTTCCTAGTAAATGGTGAAGTCATTAGTAACATAGAACAAGGTCTATGCATACTTATCGGCATATCCAAATATGATACTGTCAAAGATATGGAATATATGTAAGTACTAGCCTTTAGTTTCGGCTTCCTTCGCTTTATTGTAGAAAAATATGCATCCGGAATAAATAAAAATTCTGGATGAAAGAAACCCTGTTTTTCTGAATACGTGTAGGCAAAATTTCACAATGATTGAGTTCTTAAGATGTGAACGTGTTACAAACAATCTAACTTTTATATTTATAAAGAAATATAAGTATGTATTGGAAGGTTCCTTTTTTATTTTACTGGGTTTTGTTGGTCCGCTAGGTGTTAAATATTAAGTGAAGCTTATAGACATTGAAATGTATACTTTATCCTGTGATCATTAACTAAAATATTCAAATTGTAAAAAACAATATAAAGACATAAAACATGAAATTAAACTGTAAAATATCTTTATGTAAATTTCGCATTTAGTCATAAGGTTAGAATAGTGAAAACGAATGCTTTGAAATAAGCTCCCCTCCACAGTATATCCCAAGCCCTATGATGTTTCCTTCAAATGAGGCTTGTGGAGAGTACTTAATGGTAGGCAGCAGCTTGGCTCTGCCCCTGGCATTGCTGACTTCCATGAGCGATAGTAACCACATACTATCACATCGGCAGTATGCTTGTCTTCTTACAAGAGCAATTAGAAAATAAAAAAAACTAATAATAGTAAAAATTGTATCCTATTCAATTATATGAACCAAATTATTCAATGTATTTATATTATTATTGGCCCATATCACACTGTGTTAAGCTGTAAAAGGAGCATGGCTCATACTACAACATGGCTGCTACAGGCTAGTTAGTGAGTTTTTTTTTTTTATATATGTAGATGATGAAGTAACTTCAGAAAAATGAGTCTTGAAAACAACCTGTTTTTAATTCAATAACGGTATTGTCATCAAGATCTACTCAATTTCTAAATTTTAATTTTATGATTTCAGAGTGAGGAAGATTCTAAGTATCAAGTTATTTGATGACGAGTCCTCTAAGAGATGGAAGAAAACAGTAGTTGATAAACAATTTGAAATATTATGTGTCAGTCAATTCACATTATATAATACTTGGAAAGTAAGCAAGACATTATTTAAATCATAAATAAACCAATAAAAATGAAATCCAAGACAATTTTAAAGTTTGATGACATCCAAATATCAAAGTTTTCTTTTTTAAACAATTTTGGATTATTTTATACCTCAAACATCTTCTCTCTGACAATAATCAATTTTTATAAGTGTGTACAAAAAAAGAACAAAAATAATAATAATAATACCACTGCTAATAATACCAAAAATGATATTGTACCCTGTATAAATTTTACACATTATTTAGATCATATTTTATACTGCTTTGTTACTAAATCAAAGAAAAAATGTTATGTTTTTATTTATTTATTGCTTAGATGGGTGGACGAGCTCACAGCCCACCTGATGTTAAGTGGTTACTGGAGCCCATAGACATCTACAATGTAAATGCTCCACCCACCTTGAGATATAAGTTCTAAGATCTCAGTATAGTTACAACGGCTGCCCTACCCTTCAGAATGAAACACATTACTGCTTCACAGGCATATGCAGGGTGGTGGTACCTACCCGTGCGGACTCACAAGAGGTCCTACCACCAGTAAAATCTGCTTACTGTGCCTGAATGGAATAAATCAAAAACACTACAAGCACATTCAACTGCATCAGCAAAGCTGCTAGTGTTTTTTATTAAAGAATGATAGTACAGTCAAAACCGTTTACTGCGACATCGTTTAATACAACATGCCGGTTATAATAACCAAGAACAAAGGTCCCGGCTGAATGCCATATGACCGCCTTATTAAAAATATTGCTTTCTACGACATTGGTAATAACGACATACCTCATAAAACGACCACATTTAACTAATATTTCGGAGAATTATATCTGTTAGAACGACCGGCTAAGCTGTATTGTAAACAATTTGAATAGGTATCCACATTTGACTTCAATGGCTTTTAAAATCAGGAAAGAAAACAATAGGATTTAGTTTAGTGTAGGGTCTTTTCTAATTCTTAGAAACAAAACACGTGCATGCGGTAGTCGCGTGCATGCAAAGCCCGCTTCTTCATATCTCTTCAGTTAGTTTGTTACTTATCTATATACAAGACGCACCTAAACTTGGTGGAGTTATTCGTGAAACTTTCAAGATGTCGCAAAGAAAAATAAAACAAATGAATATTGAAGAAAAATCGCGTATTATATAAATATATTTTTCCATTAATTCCCTATCGATTTGTTTGTACTTGCACGATACACATTAAACATCACCGGTTGTTACGACTATCGGTTTTTACGACGAATATGAGCAGTCCCTTCGATGTCGTTATAACAGATTTTGACTGTAATATTATTTTAAGCATTTAATTTTTTTATCCATGTGTTTTTTTTTTAAATTATGTTATTTTTTTTATAAAATTTCAGGGTAACAAACCAGACTTCCACAATGCAATGCCTGGTGACCAATCTAAAGAATTTTACGAGAAATTTCTGCAGATGTTAAAAGACGCATATGTGTCTGATAAAATAAAAGGTTACTACCAATATTATCTATATCTCATGCCAGCTTTGGTCTCAATCCAGTTTTGTTCCACCCATGCACACATGGCGCTGATGTCTATGGGCCTGATGTACCTACCAGTAGGCCTATAGAGTCAGCCATGATGAGCCTTTCCATTTAGGCTACAAAAACTAAATCCAAAAAAAGACATGTTGGACAAATCAGTTGATTATCTGCTATTTATAGCACTACCCCAGCTGTTTCGAAGGGTGTTTTAAAAGAGACTAACAGAAGAACAGGCAGTTATCTGATTATTACAGTAGCAAAAACTAAAACTTCACGTCTCAGGGTGGATATTGGCATTCACCTTGTGATGGGCTCTGGGAAAACTGCGTAAGTGTTGTGAATTATTTTGCCCATCTAACTGATATTTTTTTAACTTTTAGATGGTTTATTTGGAGCCTACATGCAAGTTTGCATACAGAACGACGGACCCGTGACTTTTGAAATTGAATCCCTTGACAAGGACCCAAGCAAGAGTAATAAAAAAACAACAAGCTTAGAAGCAGGAGAAAGTATAGACCCTTAAATCTTTGACCCAAATTTTATTCTATGTGAATGTTAATATAAGAACAAATCATTAATATTTGTTAGTTTTCAATTCTAAAAACTTTTTGGGCTTCAAATTTGAAGATTAAGTAGGCATAATAACCTATTTTTTTCTCTCTACCTATTCGCTGGTACACCAAGGGGCTATTTTAGCTACGTCCGGACGGGTAGGTGACCTCAGGGGCTTAACCTGAGAGAATTGGCTAACACTAGCCCTAGTGAGAGCAGTGCATCGATGTTTCTATCACCGGATCGGAATCACGACCCACTGAGAAGATCCGGCGAGAAACTCAGTGGGCTGTGTCTATGGGTTAGTTCGCTCGTTGAACTCTTCGTCGTAATCTACGAGTGCGACGAGGTCGGTGACCGGTGCTTGAAGGGCCTAAAATCACCGAGAGTGAATCCGGGAGATCTGACAAGACATGCTTCGAACGACGAAGCCGCCGTCGTGCTTTGCCCCGTCACGGTCGGTGTGCTTAGTGCGAGTTTTTTTAACGCTCTCAAGAGCGTAAAAGTTAACTCACGTTTGTATGCAGTTGGGACAGTGCCCCTAGCGGCAAACGTAGGCAAACGTTCCAACTCCATACAAAACAGAGCTAACTTTTACGCTATCGAGAACGTTAAAAAACTCGCACTAAGCACACGGCGAATCGACGCCTTTGAGATGTGGTGCTGGCGACGTATGCTACGAATACCATGGACGGCCCGCCGCACCAACATATCTATTCTCAGGCAGTTAAAAATAGAAAAGATTCAACGTCTATCCACAATCTGCCTACAAAGAATATTGCGGTATTTTGGTCATGTTGCACGTAGGGATACCAGCAATTTGGAACGCCTTGTGGTGACCGGTAAAATATAGGGAAAAAGGCCTAGGGGTAGAGGTCCCAAACGATGGTCGAACCAAATAGCGGAGGAACTGGGGATACCTATCAGCGACGCACTCCACCGGGCTGCAGGGCGGGATCGATGGAGACAGTTGGTTGACGAAATCGGACGGAGTCACGAACCTCAGCAGTGAGGAACCGATCGAAGAGAGAGAGAGAGAAAAAGCACACGGATAAGTATTAGCCTAATGTACCGACAATAGTTTCAACGAGACCCCCGCCATGCTTCTGCAAGGTAGTGCGTTCGCAGAAGTCAATTCCGCCCATCAGGTCGCGTCGCTGACGTACATCACAGCCCATGACAGTCGCCAACAGCAAATCGGTACCTACTTATTTGTAAGACGAAAAGGCAGACGAGCATACGGCCAACCTGATGGTAAGTGGTTACCGTCGCCCATGGACTTCAGCAATACCAGGAGCAGAGCCAAGCCGCCACCTACCGTTGTATTCAGCATCGTTTGAACTACCACCAAATCATATTACTCGACTACTTTAATAAAAAGTAGGTAGCGATTGAACTTTGTTTTATACAAGGATAAAACAATAAAATACTCATTGAATTAATAAAAAAACTTTATTATGAAATAATGGTTATTATCTATTAACATTGTTACATTTAGGCCAGTGATAAGGTACGTTAGAAACATTAAGAGATTTTTATGAAAGTTGATATGCTTATTACGCTAATTCTACAATTACATATCTTTACTACTCGACCTACTCAACGACTCCCAACATACAAGATATTTCTAATAGTTTATTGAAAATTTATATTTCTTATTTTTCGGCAAATATATGTTAGAGATTACACAAAATTATAAATTATTTAGGTAGGTACATACCAATCTATTCAATTCTCATTCATACTTTGTTAACAGATAATCTACCATCAATTCCATCTATAGACAAAACTAAACGAGTAGAAAATAAAATAAACTTTTAAAAAGAGAAAATAAATGCATTTAAAAAAAATCTTTATAATATTACTATAAAATGAATTTAACAAGTCATATTAGAGTCTTAAAATTAAAATAGTTTCGCAAAAATTATAATATGTTTTAATTCATTTGCCAGATTCACCATTTTAGTCCGAGTGCCATATGATTACTATTTCTATACTGTCAAATATAGATAATATAATCATTTCTCATGTATACGCTGAATGTTACCAACGCAAACCTACAATTCTTGAAGAATTTTATTGCAACACCGTTCAAGGCACTATTTGTTTTGGTATATTGCTGATACGTTTCCTCACTCCTAATTCACAATATCATTGGGATAACATAATCGTAAAGTGCCAAGAGTACTTTTTTGTTTAAACCTTTTAACTGCTTAGCGTATATTTTCAATTCATATTTAACCAATGACATTTCACTATGTCACTGGTCACGGAGACGATTTGTTTTGAAAATGGAACGACGACACTAATGTCTTTACACTATCGAATAATTATTATTACAAAAATATCTATAATTCTATTCTAAATTATTCGAATGAAATCGTTACTGGGTCAGGCTAAGGATTTGATTAACAACATATACCCATTGGTATTTTACGGACGCGACGTGCATTATTGCGTTACTAATTTTGCCAACACTACTCGAATTGAATCGACAAACTATGAGAAATAATGAAATAAATGCATTTTAAATACTTTTACTAATAATCTTATAAAACAAAAAAATAGGTACCTCACTCTCACATTTTATATAATCTGAAACCAATCTACATGCGTGCATTTTAGAAATGCTAAAATTTAGCTTTAACTGAGAAGTGTCATCATAATTTAAGCAAGAATGAGGAACCAAAAAGTATTATTTACGTTACTGTAAATGTCGAGATAGTTGATCGACGATTGAGTTATAATAATAAGTCGCTAAATTTAATTTTTTTAAACCAGACATTCACAATGCAACATATGCCAAGTTAGACGATAATACTGCAAAATGAATGTTTGATTCATGTGCAAACCATTCAGAATCGCCATTTAGAATCGATTAAAAAAACCTTGCGACTTTTACGTACAAATAAATTAGATGACAGGTTTTTTATTTATGTAAAGGTTCATAACGGTTCGCTTTTAAGACGTCATGGTGGGTATAGATAGAGTAGTAGTTAGTGAGTAGTCTACCAAAGTCCAGATGAATAACCGCCGGGCGGCACGCGGTTGTAGTAGATAATATTGCTGGTGCCATTAATTGACGTCATTGTGTTCATTTGCCCGTTCATCGACTTGTATCCGTCACCGGTGATTGGGTTGCCTTCTGAAAAAGTTAATTTAAAAATTAGAGTTCGAATCTTCTTTTTATAAATGTGTTTACATTTCTATTTCAAATTACTCTTGTAGTCTAATTTTATTATTCCAACTATTAGTGAAGTAAAAATNATAATATTGCTGGTGCCATTAATTGACGTCATTGTGTTCATTTGCCCGTTCATCGACTTGTATCCGTCACCGGTGATTGGGTTGCCTTCTGAAAAAGTTAATTTAAAAATTAGAGTTCGAATCTTCTTTTTATAAATGTGTTTACATTTCTATTTCAAATTACTCTTGTAGTCTAATTTTATTATTCCAACTATTAGTGAAGTAAAAATTAAGTGTTTCGAAGAAAAATGCAAAGTTACGATAATTATTTCAACAAGAAGAATTTTACCATGCAAATAATTCCGACAAAAAGATTCTAATAAATAGTCTAGATTGTTACTCGACTACGATATTATTCTAAAACATAGTCACAATATCTAATTTTGAAGAGGAATAAACATATTATGATTATAGCAGGCAAAATAACCCAACAATTTATTCTTAAAAAGTTCAATATATCTTAATACATAGTATTTAAAATACAATACACAACGACAACAACAAAGCAGTTAAGTGAACAAACTATTAGTCTAACAGGTCCTAAAGCATTGTATTCGTTGTATTGAATACCGATACTAAACAGCAAATAATAATAGACGGTGAGTGCTTAATTTGATGACTTGAAGGAATTGTTCCACAGTTCTTTTTTTCTTTCTTTCACAGACAGCAAAATAAAATAAATGCAAAAGCTACAACAGTTCAAAATGAAAATAATTCATTTCATCAGATGTGCAAAAGCCATTCCTTCTGTCGAAATTAAACACCCACCCATCTCCCTTCGGCGAACATAATCTACAAAGTACGTCTTAGGATTGAAGTCTTCTCCGTGCCGATTCTTTTTAAATAGGTACCCAGGGACGTACTTATGGAATATTGGGGGGAAACCTGTCAAAGTGTGGGGACCCGGAATCAATGGAGTTTGTAAGAGGGTCATATCTGGAATCATGGCATCGCGATCATATTTGAAAAGTGTGGGAGGTGGATCACAATTTGCAACTAAAAATGGATCGATTCGTCCATCTAATGTCGGGATCGGGTTATACTTATAATCAGGCTGTGGCCTCTCGCCCAAGACTGACGTCATACCGACAAAAGCATATGGCGGCAAGGGATGGTACGGGACCTTCAATTCAGAAGGTTCAAGATAATGTTGTGCCGGAAACGGAGGCCAATGTCTGTCTAAAATTGGTTGAGGCGATAATGAATCGGAATCGATAACTGGATGGTCTTTTTCGGGGTCATCAGTTTTTAAACCAAGAAGAGCGTAAGGCGTGTGTTGAATATTTAAAGCAGGTTTTGTAGTGGATTCAACATAGTAATTGGCGGGACGCGGTGGCCATTCACGAGTAAAATATCGATGGGTCGGTTGGGGATTTAACAGGTAAGATAGGTACGGATCAGCAAAGTCTGGTTCGGCACCTCGCAGGCTCGCAGCCGGATGACGGCGACGCAGCGGCGTCAGAGGCACTCCATCGCCTGTCACTGGATTCCTCTTCGGTGGCGTGTATGACGCTGATCATTCAGAGAACAATCGGTTTTCATTCGAACTTAAATAATAACCTAACAGACCATAATCTATTTGTTGCGTATTGCATTTGACTGTCACTTTTTATTCGGAATTTTTGATTTGTAGATAGTAAATGTTTCCTGCAATTATTATGTTAGCTTTACCATTATACCCTTAATCTTAAAGCCCATTTAAATATATAATATGTACTTTAAAAAGACGGTTTACCAATGTGTTGTTACAGCGGTTAAATATTTTACAGTAAAAAAGATTGTTTGTTAGTAAATAAATGCTTTTATGTATCATATAATGAAGCATATCATCCTAGCGTGCATGAGTGTACACATATATAGTAAATGTATGACGAACAAGTGAATTATTTTCAGGCACAAAACCATATATTTCTGACCCCGCTAAAGAAAAACATCCAGAACGTAGAATCAACAGTGAATTTCAATTACAGAAATCTTAGAAAACGAGATATATTTCCAAAAAAATCTTACGTCCATAAGAAGTTGTAGTAAAAAAATTAGATAAGTTCTACATTCGTGATGTTTCATTTATTATTATCACCGCAACCTGTGTCCATAGTCGTGCTTTTTCGTGCCTACATAAAATTCGACTCACAATGTTCGGCTGGCTCCCTCTCACCTCGGCTGGGTGTCGAATAAGCGCTTCCGTTCATCATCTTGGCGGGGGAGTGCGTAGGACTTCCGCCGTTCATTTCAGAATCACCAAACTGGATGTTACTGCGGATGGTGTCGGTGATCAATGGAGAAACGGGTCCATTGCTCGCTGCCTGAAATTAAATTAGTTTTAAACAAATTTGCGTGCTGATTTGTTTCAAATTAATCAGCGAAACATACAAACAATCGCCCAATAATAATCAATAATTAAATTAAACTATTTAAAACATCAATAAACATACATCTTTACTCAACGTACACCTGATATTAAAAAAGGCTAAACAATTATAGGTACATCATTGGCACGGCTATCTACCAATACCAATGTAAGAAGAAGTCGCTATTGCATCGGTGACTCCAGATCGCAGCAGCCACCATGGGACAGTGGTTCCGGAAGGCGCATTGACATCAACCTCAAAAGGGGTCGCCCTCCGAATACCACTTCGGGCAGCCCACTCCCTAATAAGCGCGTTAACACCCCCGCCATTTGCCCCATCACTTTCTTTGGCCATACCGTGGGTCTCGAAGATCAAATATCTAGGCGTAAACCTCGACAGAGCGATGACATTCCGACCCCACATTAGAACGGTATGCGACCGTGCCGCCTTCATACTAGGACGCCTCTTTCCCATGATTTGCAAGCGAAGTAGGTAAATTGTCCCTTCGTAATAAGGTGACACTCTACAAAGTTCGCTCACGCGGCCCGCACTATCTTGAAACCCCTTCAAATCATTCAATCCCGTTTTTGTAGGATAACCGTCGGAGCACCATGGTTCCTAAGGAATGTGGATCTCCATGATGACCTGGAGCTTGACTCAGTCAGTAACTATCTACAGATAGTCGACATCATTGCGCCACTTTGAAAAGGCGGCACGTCACGAAAACCCTCATCGTGGCCGCCGGTAACTACATAGCCGATCCTGCGGACCAAATGGTAAACAGTCGACGTCGCCCTAAATACGTCATTACGGATCCTCCCGATCATTAATGGTGCTTTTAGGTACCTAAGCATCGGTCACCGTCCTCGCCGAACCCGTCGCTTTCGGCGAAGGGCTCGACTAGTAAATTAACCCGACACAGCTCACTGAGTTTCTCGCTGGATCTTCTGAGTGGGTCGTGTTTCCGATCCGGTGGTAGATTCTGCGAAGCACTGCTCTGCCAGTGCTAGCAACACTTCCGGTTTGAGCCCCGTGAGCTCACCTACATGTTAAGGTGAAGCTGAAATAGCCTCTCAAGGCTATCAGCATAGGTAAGAGAAAAAAAACCTTGGCATCTTAAATCACGAGTTGCATTGATATAAAATATAATTCTTTCCCAGCAAAAATAAGGTGTTAACATTCCACTTGGGTTCATAAAACGGACTTTAATGTCAAAACTAGAAAAAAAATACAGGATGCATAACTAAACAAATTGTGTATGTACTGTCCTAAAAGTTGTACATACAAATAACTACCTAAACACTATATATCGTGTTAGTATATTTTTTATTTTTCCAGACTGGCATTTAAATAAAGATTTTTTTCTTTTTATATTGCTTAGAAGGGTGGACGAGCTCACAGCCCACCTGGTGTTAAGTGATTACTGGATCCCATAGACATCAACAACGTAAATGCGCCACCCAACCTGAGATATAAGTTCTAAGGTCTCAAGTATAGTTACAACGGCTGCCCCGTCCTTCAAACCGAAACGCATTACTGTTTCACGGCAGAAATAGGCAGGGCGGTGGTACCCACCCGCGCGGACTCACAAGAGGTCCTACCACAAGTAATTACGCAAATTATAATTTTGCTGGTTGATTTTGATTACACGATGCTATTCCTTCACCGTGGAAGTCAATCGTGAACATTTGGTACACACTCACCTGTCCGAAAAGTCTCGAGTGAGTGTCACGCGGACGCGTCGGTGTGTCGCGGACGACGCGTTGGCGCGCCATGCCGTTCTTCTTGGGGCTGCCGTCTGTCATATCGCCATTGAAGATTTCTGCGATGCAGCTCTTAGGCGCGTTAGGCACCCTGGAAATAATTTATTAAAATCCAATTTAGTTGCAAATTTGTTTAGCACGTTTAAACGTTTCAGTAAATTTGGTTTTTAGCTTCCTAAATTTTATAAACATAATTGGGTAGGCGCTTTAAAAAATTACCGCCAAACAGAAAGCGTTCAATAAAGATAAAGAGGAAAATGGCGGGACAAGTATTTATAGCATAGACTGCCCGTAGACCCGTAGAGACATAATACCGCCGTTGTGATCTTTATTGTCCTAAAATAAAACAAATATTAAATTTTGTAAAAATCTAAAACAAAATACATAATATTATGAATTATGAAATATTTTTTATTTATTAGATTACAATCTCTAAGACGGCCTATGCGTTGACGGCTAACTGCTGACAGTCTATTCCCGTGTTTGGTGGTGTCTACATCATGTGTCATTGACTGCCGTACAAAACTGTCAAATAATTTTATTACAGGAAATCGTTGAGTCAATGATTCGACTAAAGAAATCTGGTTTTCTATAAAATGCCTCTAGATTTATCGAGCAATGTCGTTTTTATCGATAATAATTGATTTTTTTAATACAAGATTATGTTGTCATCAAACGGAAACGCAAAAATAAACCTGAACATCTGTTACTAGTAATGCAAGTCCGTAATAAACTAAGCAAACGATATCTATTTATATTTTAATATGTACATATTTCCAACATGTTAACAAAACGGGTTGAGTTTTGTCGGTTGACTTTTTTAAATACTTAAAAATAGGTAATAATAATACGAATAACGACTTTGCTAGCAACTGTACTTATGTATCAAGGAATTTATTTTTATTAAGCTGTTGAATGCACACGAATTAGATATTAGACTACATTAAACTAACTGTATGTGTTACAATGTATTTTTTATTTATTTACAAATCATCAATTAGCATTCGATTGACGTAAATAAATAACAACAATAAAGAGTCCAGTATCGAGAAGGTAGGTAGGTACTTTCAAATTCTGAACACTGGAAGCGAACATCAAAATTATCAACTGAATCCAGCCTTAATCGTAAAACATCGAGAAAACTCACAGTCCTCGATGGATAAATAAATTAGCGAAAGTTAAAGAACACGATATACTTTGTTGAATTTCTCTTGTTTTTACTTTATCGAAGATTATGAACGAAACATGAAACTTAATGGGTTGTATAAATTTTGATGTCTTCACTAAAACACGTTTCGGGTAAACGGATACGCTTTCTTCATTTAACTTTGGACCTTTTTTTGTTTATTGTCACAAGAACACCAAATAATAAAAGGCCACTCAAGAATAATTTATGCACTCATGAAACTGCAATTATTTTTAGATTATTTTCCCATAAAATATATCTGAAATTTATCAAAATACAACACGTTATAAATAGTTTTAAATGTATCTACAAAAAAAAAACATTGTGTAATAAATATGTTAAACAAAACATACTGTATTGATCTCTCGCTTGCGATTACGTCATAAAATACGATTTTAATTACCGCGATATGCTAGACTACTATTGATTCGTGGTCAATCGTTTCGGCATGTTAATGACCCTTTCCCCGTGCACAGGAAGTGAGAACCCCTACGTTCAGGTTATCGGGGAGCCGACTTCAGTAAACACCTATCTTTATTTTATACTTCAATAAGTTGCGATAGGAATATTTGACATCGGTTGTTGACCTTTTGTGGTGCACGGATAATGAATCATTTTAGTGTCTAAACCAGATTCCATTTTCTCACTCATAAAGTATATCCATGTTGATGATGAATTAGTCGTATTTTAGATTTACTTAATGACAATTAATTTTATCTATAGTAACAATGTGTTATTTTTGTTACTGAATATAACATAGACATATCCATAACATAGCATAAAATAATATAACATAGACATATCCACATTAACTGGTTCGTTACTTTACAAACATTTCAATTTAAATTAGTCAGCACAAAACCTACACACAAGTTTCAAAATGAAAACAAATCAACGGATGAACATGCAAGTCTGAATATTATTTCTAATAAGACGGTTTTCAAACGAGTCTAGTCAGTTACATCGAGATATCAAGATAACGTTGGAGTTTTGCAAAAACGCTCGCTTTTATAAGTGGGTAGGACTTATCGCGCTCTGCGATCTTTGAAGTGAAGTTACCTAAGGCTGTTCAGCCTATCCTTACACGAAGCCAAAGTCGTAATGAGAAAAAATGTTACTCCATTTAAATCGTTTACGTTACGCTAATGTTTAATCATTGATAATAAATACTAATTGAGTGTTTATGATTTTAAATAATTATAAAAAATGTAAATACTTCCGCTATTTACAACGGATGTTTGCAGTTAACATAACTAAGAGCGCGTCGATGATATTCCTTTTTCCTATTCCTCCCGTATGAATGCCTATTACGATTTTTTTTACCTGTCTTACCCGCATTCAGATTATGCAGAAGGAAATTACAAAATAATTTACTTTAAAATCGAGCGCATAAATTGTGACATCGCTGCTTTAGTGATCACGGTGAGAGCTAATTAGTAGTTTTGCACTGATAACGTATTCATCAAGGCGTCTTAGAAGTAGAAAAAAAAAGGGGAGTCCCAGAAAGGAGAGTAGTTTTGGACTGGAAGAAACAAAAGGGAGACAGACCAACTGTGAATACCAACAAAACTTTCAGTTCCTCTGTATGTTCGATGGATTGCGCTCTAATTACTTAATTTAATGAAAGAAACAATGATTTTACACGCTATTAAAAGAAATAAATTTCCCTAGTTAAAACAACAATACAAAAAAGACTCACTTTAAATGATTCAAAGCTATTTCGTGTACTCTTGTTACGGTTACAGCACCGACAGAACAAAATCACTAATTTTAATAAATATCACTAGATAACATCAAACAGGAATAAGTTATAAGCCATCAAGGCAGCCAAGTATGTCCGAGAATAGTCTAGAACCACCAGGTGCAAACAAATGGATGTGGGCGATGAGTTTCAATTGCTAATACGAACATGTCAACTGTCGTGAAGACACTGGACGTGACATGCAAATGCTGATTTGACAACGATTCCACTCCGTGAGAACCTAAGATCAAAGCCTACTGAGCTAATCTTCACGATTATGAAATTAATTATCTCTGAAAGCATAGCATATTTTACTGTTGGTAGGACCTCTTGTGAGTCCGCGCGGGTAGGTACCACCACCCTGCCTATTTCTGCCGTGAAGCAGTAATGCGTTTCGGTTTGAAGGGTATGGCAGCCGTTGTAACTATACTTGAGACCTTGGAACTTATATCTCAAGGTGGGTGGCGCATTTGCGTTGTGAATGTCTGTGGGCTCCAGTAACTACTTAACGTCAGTTGGGCTGTGAGCTTGTCCACCCATCCAAGCAATAAAAAATAATAAAAAATTCTAAAAATCTCTAATATACCTAACTAAAATCATTATAATGCACCACTCTCACAACATCGAGATAGAATTTTCAGTATTGCTTACTCGAGTGGACGAGCTCACGGCTCATCTTGTATTAAAAATTGTATATCGGAGACTACGGACATTAACGACGTAAATGCTGCCACTCACCTTGAAACATAAGTTCTAAATCTCAGTTTCATAGTACTACGGGTGTCGCAACCTTTAAACCGAAACCTGGTTACTTCACGGCAGAAATAGACCGAGTTGTGGTACCTACGCGTGCGGACTCGCAGGCGACAGATGACATTAAAAATCTAATCGAAAATTATTAAATATGTCAATGTAAATACTCGCACAACGTCATACCAACAAAGATCCAATGGTAAACATAGACGTGGTGGTGAATTACTCCAATATTACAAAGATCTAATGGTAAACATAGCCCTGGTGGTCAATTACTCCTATATTACATTTAGACTGTTACGATGGCATCCCTAACTGCTTGTCTGCACTAACTAGTGATTATATTCAAATTATTAACAAATGCTTCGATGGAAGACTAACACGACAACAACATTGGCATCTCTGTGACCCTTACTCCGACAACAAGTCATCACTATAAAGATTGTGTCCGAATCTTTACTCCAAGGGGGAAGGTGTTATAAAATGGGTGCTGTGATATATCAATAGTATTACAGAACAAGTTTAGTACTAGCAATTCTTACGTTACAGCATTGGCTCAATTTTCGTAAATAATCCTATTCTATTCCACTCAACAAATACTTTGAGGAGTCCTGGCATAGTAACTAATTTCCTTCGAATCCCTTTGAGTAATCTAACACTGCTCATTCCACAACCAATCGCACTCTATCTCTAAATTTATGGATACTAAGTCTATTTTCCTTTAACTCTCTTATTGGAAAGTAATAAAGTTTAAAATTAAACAAAACTTTAAGCCACTCTAACCACAAAACACTATTCATTCCTATCGCTGCAAATAGCAGGAGTATTAAGATAATGATTATTAGATACCTTTTTAATAACAACAGTCTCGAGGGCCCAATTTCCGCACTAAAACGGTATTAAAACTGAAATGGGAAAACGTAGTTTAACGGATACAGTTAATGTTCTCCGGATGCATCGCAAAAAGCAACGTTGTATTAAGACGCGATTATTTTAACCTCACCGGTGGTCAGCGCAATGTTAGACATGATGTTTCCTCGCCGTACGCTCCCCGAGATTATTCGTCAGCTTGAAAAATACACCTTAAATGAATTCGTTTACGATTCAATTTGCAAAACGAAATACGTTGATGCTCGAAGCATGTGCGTCCCTCCAGTAGACGGCAAATTGCGTAAATTACACATAATCAGCTACGCAAGTAAAGCTTATCAAGTTCAATAGCTGGCATATGAGATTAACGTAAATGCAACTTTGCTACGTTCAATCCTAATGCCTAATCAAGAACTAATGGAAATACATAAGCGAAACACGAAATCACATATGTAAAAAAAATTATTTTTTCCATTTTAAGCTTTAAAGATAACTCTTCAATAGTAATCTCAAGAGATGTAGTACAACAACCATAACACTT